TTTAATTCAAATTGTCTATCATAAAATTTCAATTACACAAATAATACCAATTAAACAAATAAAGTAATTTAACCAATTAATGAACATCCACATAAGCATATAATTTAATTACACAAAGAAATCAATTTAAACAATTAAACAATTAACAATTAAACAAATTGACAAATAAATCAAGTAAATAATTTTAAAATGCACAAAAACCATAAAAGAAAATACCGAGACTATTCTTTTAAAATTAGGGGTATTACACTGTGTGACCCATACTTAAAACTCGGAGCCAACGGAAAAAGTAAAAAAATAAATAAATAGTTCCTTGGATTTAATACCAAGTGCTCGAGTTATGCCCTCCGAGCACTCGAAGGACACTCTAATCACCTCCTGTGCGCGCAGGGCCCCTTGTCAGCCGAACGCTCAGGCCTGCCCAGAAAATGAGCACTTTGCCCTTTCTTGCCCCGTTCCTTTTCCCGAACACCCTCTTGGTCATTTTTTACCTTAATGCCCCTGTCCTAACTCACAAGCATGAATAAAATGCAAAAATGAAGTTTTTTTTTTCGAAATTTAAAAAATGAAGTTAATACATCAATTTATACATTTATATCATTTAAAACCCATGGCATTGCTAACATAAGTCATAAAGATCAATTACATGCCCCAAAATACATTTGAAGTAGTCCAAAAGAATGTAAATGTAAGTCTAAACCTTTAAAGTCATATTTACAATGTTTTACAAAGGAAATTACATCAACTGAACATTTATTACAAAATTAACAAAAGATGCTCCCGTCCACCTTAACTATACTTGTGAGGGTCCATTATCAACCACGACTCCGCCACAACCTAAAAAATGTTAATGAAAGAAGTGAAGACAGAGGTTCAGTAGAAAATGCCTAAGGCGCCAACTTTGGACTCCCTTAAGCCATACAACACACATTAGGGATAAAAGAGAACCAATATCATACATTGGGGGTTTTATCACATTTGTATCACAATGTCAGTCTCATCAACAACATTTATACAACAGATAATAAATGTGCATGAAATTACAATGCAATGCACAACCGTCGCTAAACTTGGTTTCTACCGACCTTAACTCACACCGAAAACCGCTAACTGACTTTACCGAGGTGAAATTTAATTAGTATCCCTGATTCTAAATTCGGCAACCATTTGGGGCCTAGTAATTAACTTTTCACGTCCTAAACCGGCACGCGGTCCCTCTAGATCGTATTAGCACCGGACTCGTGAAATTCGATTTATATTATAAAAATCTATTTCATGCCTTTTCTCATTTAACTTTCCCATCATGCCATGCATGCAATTCAATTTCATCAATTTAGTTTTAATAACATTCATATGCAACAATAACATAAACATAACATTTTCTAGAAGTAAGGTACAAACATAACATTCTCCATAAACCAACTATAAGTATGACATTCTCATATAACTCAATCACAAACATGTTCTTCATATAATCTATATCATCACAAATCATGCTAGTATTAATTATTTAAGCAAATTTGCACCGAAGCCATATTATACACGTATTTAACATGAAATTAAACACATTTTTATCCACATATTAGCATGTTTTTACCACTTTAACATCTTACTATCATGTCAATTCATACTTTAGCATTCAAGAATGAAGTTAATAAAAAATCATAACATGAATACTCAATAAAATGCAAAGTATGAGGCATTAGAAATCCCTACCTCAATTGTGTGCAACCAAACATGCCCTTAGCTAGCCAATCAAGCCCTAAGGCTAACCCCCAAATTCGAAATCCTTCTAGCCCATGCACCATTGGCCTAAAATAAAAGCTTTCTCCAAGCTATTTAACTTCCTATGGCTTAAGGAAAATCTCATTTTAACCTCTCCAAAATTTGAATTAAACATTGAAAACATATAATGTATATAGAGAGAGAAATAAAAGAGATGGAGTAAGAAGAAGGAATGTTGAAAAATGAAGAGGGAGAAGGGGGTTTGATTTGGTCTTGCAAATGAATCTTTAGCCCAAAGTGTGTCACTTATCACCTTGCGGGTGATTAGAGCTTTAGGTTAAGTTAGCACCTTGCCCTCATTTAAACAATTCAATGTCATCCTTGTCCCATAAAAATCTTCCCAATGTATAGATATAGATGTATGTATATGTGTGTGACAAAACCACAATGCTCCTTAATGCAAATGGCGAAACTGGGAGAAATTCCCGATTCCGAAAATCGTCCCGACTTTTGAAAAATTCAAAAATTAATCTTGTCACTTCTGATTGGCTTAAAATAAATAAAAATGCATTTCTGAAACTCTCGGCTCGAGAAATGACCTAAATGGCCATCGAAGCCCATGTGGCACACAAAACAATGCATGAAATAAATAAAATAAAAATTTAAAAAAATTCAGGACATTACATGTCACGCCCACGAGTGAGGTAACCCGCACCTTATCAACCCCTGGCACACTTTAAGCCAAATAACTTTACATTATTGTACTTTAGACGATGATTTCCATTTTGTGCACTTCTAATTTACTGCACTTTAGTTTAGTGTAGGTTTTTTCGCTCGTTTTATTTCACTGCTCCATAATATTATATTCGCAATACACTACATCATCTCCATCTCTATACTCATACACTGACCACGATGCGAGATTTTAAATTCTTGTTATAAAGACAATTGTAACCTAGAGTGTCTTTTTTGCCTCCTCCCAATCACTCGAACATGTTTTTATTAGGGATGACAAAACAGTCCGCCCAACCCCCGTTTTGGGGTCCGTTTAAGTGTTTTGAGTGGGATACACATTTTAGAAATGAAAACCCGTGTAGGTGCTGATGTTCGAACCTCTGACCTCCCTTTGGGAAATAGGAGCCTTGTACCGCTAGGCCACAGGCTTGTTGGTGAATAATGTTTATTTGATTTATTTTTCTATATACGAGTTATAAAAATATGAGTGAAAAATAGGAAGAAAATCAGAATTTAAATAGGGTGAGAGAACTTAAACGCGTACGTGACAAGTGCATCAAACTTATTATTTTATACTAAAAATTAAATGTTTAATTAGTGTTTTTTAGTAGTTAAATGTTCTTATCCACACTTTTCATGTGTTTATAGGGGTTAATTTCGTAATGGGAAGAAAATAAGCAAAAATGACAAAAATGCAAGAAATTATACTCCAAAAATGGATGTAAGGTTATTTATAGATGAAAAAAACACCATAAATATTGTAGGAGAGATGGTCCAGTGCACAATTACCTTTTAAGAAGTCTCAAATTCAAGACTTGAGTAAAGTACAAATGATAAAAAATTTTAATACACAGGAAATAGTAATTTTTAAAATACCAATTTCCCTCTTGTAATTTGAATTTGAAATTTCTTTTTCCTTTCTAAACTCTATAAATAGGGCAAAAGGATGTGGAGATGGGGAGTGAGTGAGAGATAGAATAGACTTTGAGTTTTATTGTCTTGTGTATTCTTCTTGTAATTTTTTTCCTATTCAATGAAAATCAATTTTTTAATTCTATGTGTTATTTTTTTGTTAGTAACAAGCTTAAGCATCCCTCTTAAGGTAGTGATGAAGCCACCATGACTGAAATACAAAAATACAAGTGAATTTATTTTACTTCTTGTATGAAATTTTCTTTTGAAAATATTGATTTTATTATTTTATTATGAGTTTTATATGTATAACATTTAGAGGAAGGATTCTTCATGTTTGTCAAGTAATGATCTTCGGAAAATGCCTACATCTATTTACCTTTTTAGCAAAGTTAAACAGATTAAGTGAAAAAAATGTACTCTTACGTATAAGCAAGTGTCATTTAATGTCCTATTTTTCTTTATCTTTTCAAGTTATAATGTACTGGTAAAGTGAATTGCTTATTTTAAAAAAAATCATATAAGAAAAAATATATATTTTTATCCATGGTGGTGAATTCTTCTACCTTGAGATTTTCCGCTTTATTTGATAACAAATTTTGAATTCTAATTTTAATTTTATTATTCAAGAATCAAACATTTTTAAAAAAATTATTTTTTTTCACCTCATAAATTATACTTTTGAATTTGAATTGATTACGGAATCTCATATTGAATGTGTGATTCGACCTTTCTTATCTTATGTAATCTTTAGTTTAATTTTTATAATTTTTTTTTATATTTATAAGAAGTGTCGAGAATTAACGACAAAATTCATAATTCTTCGTTGGCTGTGTGAGATATGGTGGAACTGATTACGTAGTATTTGTTAAATGATTTTGAGTAAATGGTTAGATTGTCATTCTATTACCTTTAGGCCGTCATCTGGCACAATCTAAAAGAATGTGTTGTTCACACTCTAAGTGCAGATTTAGAACTTAGCCGCACCGGTGAATAAAACAAAAAAAAAAAAAAAACGATTTAGTCGAGTGATATTAAATTCAATAAGAGCTTTATTTTACCTAATCTATATTTTTTTGAATTATTTATCGGAGGCTCGTATTTGACTTCAGATGCTCACATTCAGACATGGATTTGTGAGCATTGAACGTCCACTTAATTTTTAATAAAATTTAAAAATGCAAACAGGACACGATGACATATTTATGAAAGAGAAAAGAAAAAAAAACGAAAAAGAAAAAGACAAAGATAGAAAACAATTGTTAATTTTTTTTTTTTTAACCTGACGAAAGAAATGACATTGAACCTACATCAAAGACTCACCACAAAGTAGACTTCAGTTTAGATATGCCATGAAAATTTCTTAATTCACTAATTTTTTAACTAAATATTCCGCCTTCAGTATACAGTATATATTAAAAATAAGAGTTGAAGATATTTTGTAGGTTGGATAATGAGAAAACAAATAGGGCTTACGTGTCAGTATGTGAGTCATTATTCAACTTTCACTGGGCCCTATTCCCGATTTCTAAGCCAAGGTGTCAAGCCACCACATAGCCAATCTAGTAAAGAGAGTACGGATATCATATATAGAGGATAAAATAACGATATATATATATATATATAATTCATATAGCAAAGGATATCACACAGCTGGCTCGGTTTTGTAGTTGAATGTGTATGTAGTATCTCCCATGGCTGCTTCCTCTTGTTGGGTTCCAATATTCTCAACTCCCAGTCTTAGATCACAATCCAATTCAATCTCCAAATCCCAAACTCTCCTTCTATCTGGTTCGAAACTTACCTATCAGTGTCTCGTAGTTTCGCATCCCATTCGATCCTGTCCGAACAAAACCATTCGGATCTCTGCCTCCATTTCAACGTCGGAGCCGGGGGTGCGCGTTGGCCCGGAGGATCTCGTGGCCTCCATTCTTTCCAAGGTCCGATTCGTTTTGTCTTCCTTCCATTTCTCTGCACTTGTTTATTAAATTTTTATCTCAATCAATTGGGCACTTAATTCTGATTAAATTGAGTGATTATTTAATCTAAGTGTTATTTATTTATTGTTGACTAGCGGGTGTCCTCTCCTTTTGAGTGAGACTAATCCCCTTGGGCTTGTATCTGACACTCGTTAGTTTTAGTTCAAGGAAAATGCCACTGTCTCTAGAGCCGGAATGGAAACCCCACATTTGTAGTTTATTCAATTCAATGTTTTGATAACACAAATTGGGTATAACTTAGAAATTTTAAGTATGGGTAAAATGTTATTGGACAATTCGAATAAGCGTAAAATAAAAAAATAAAAAAACTCTCCAATTTACAATTAGCACTTATAATTCAGCTATTAAAAATTTCAATTCTTAATTTTCAATTGTATCGGATAGCATTTTAGTGTACATTGTGCATTTTATAGTGATCATGCATTTTCAATATTGAGTGGATACATAAAGTATATAAGTAATAAACTACATGATGATGGACATGATTCTGTATGGTGCTTGGAAAATGGAATCACGGGGAGAAAACTTATTGGGTTTGTGATCAGGGGATTGAAGGAGAAAACTAATTGGGTTCGTGATCTAAGTGAGTGAATCGCAGTATCTATGTTCTGGATGGTATATTGCAATGAGTCAAAGTTGAATAACTGTATGATGAATTCATCGATTCGTTGATATGGCAGTGAGATGAAGCTAGCTGTGCAGAAGTTTTGAAACTCAAACTAGGAGGACAAGGGAAACTGGTGAGGTTCAAAGCTTATGCAATAGAAGAAATAGGAAAATAGAATGTTATAGCTGAAGGATAGCAAGCAATAGGCAGAAAGGGTAAGGAATGTGTCTACTTTAATTGCAGCCTATACATCTATAATGACTTGATAAATTGTAGATTGGGACACCATGATTATCGATATCTGACCCACAATTGTCTTGCATCCTGTTAGTGCTACTCTTGCGAGCTGAAATCTTCAACGATGAACATGCATTTTCTAGATTGAGTGAATACCCGTACCACATAAGGTTAACTCTATGATGAATTAGACGAATCCTCGAATTTGCAATCACGTGAAGCTAGCTGGGGCAAAAAATAAAAAAAATAAAATAAAACTTAATATTGAGAACAAAGGAGAAAATTGTAAAATCAATGATCATTGTTGAAAGACGATCTATAGGCAGAAAAGGAAAGGAATGTGTCTACTTTGGCTGCAGCCTATATGGAGCTATACATTTATAATTAACAGAGAAATTGTAGATTGGGGAGACCATAATTTTCTAAATCAAACCATGTTCCTAATTCATCCTACCAGTGCTACTTCTCCTGTTTTTATGTATCTCTTTATTGGCCATTTTTTTTTGTTTTTGAGTGTGCCTATCAGAGCAACAATATTTCTGCGATATCATCTGATTAGCTTCTAAGAGAAAAATCATAAAACAAACTTAGTAATTAATTAATTATTTAATTTTTATTAGGTTACACAAACAGATGGAGGAGTTACACTAAAAGCGGATGAACACAAAAAGGTTGCTGAAGTGGCTCAAGAATTGCAAAAATATTGTGTTGATGAGCCTGTGAAATGCCCTCTTATATTTGGAGGTAAAATCCAAGCAGTTCTATTTCACTTCATTTACTTCATCCAATCAGAAAAATACATATGAGTGTGAAACACTAACTTCTGGAAACATTCCTTTTATGGCATATCTAACTTCTTTACGGTACTAATTGTTTTGGCGTGCTTCATAAACTTGTATATATATATATATATATATATATATATATATATATATATTATTTTTTTTTCTTAATTGGTACTCACACACACATGCCTCCACTGAGGCTCGAACCCCTGACCTCCCTTTGGGAATTAGGATCCTGGTACCGTTAGGCTACTGGCCTGTTGGTATATTCTTAAAGTTGTGACTGTACAAAATAATTCTTAGATGTAAATATTTGCTTAAGCTTCTGGAAAGCAATGAAGCATTTTCCTTTTGTGTTGCCTGTGCTGGGCAAAGATTTGGTGCCCAAATGTCCTACATTGGATGTTCTATCTCACGGATTGATTTATTTTCCATGTCACTCCCATTAAGGTGGGAGGATTTAGCAAGAATAAGGGAGGGGGAATAACCTTCTCCATCACCACCAACACCTCTCTGTCTCTGTCTCTCTCTCTCGTGCACACACATTTAAATACATTGACTCATGCAATTTCAAATATAGACTATAGGAGTAATTAAATTTTACATATGCATGGATTATCAAAATTGTGGATAATTCACTTTGTCTGTTGAGATTCCGAACATGAATTAGTACTGGGAACTCTCTAACATTTCATGGTCTGCATATTGAAAACGTGGAAATGCGATCTCTTTTTATGAATTCTTTGATTTAGGAGTTTCTTAAGTAGTCTAATTTATGGATTAATAAAAGCAATTACGAGCTAACTAAGTTATACGCAGATTGGGATGTGGTTTATTGTTCGGTGCCTACATCACCCGGGGGTGGCTACAGGAGTGCATTCGGCCGCCTCATTTTCAAAGCAAAGGAATTGATTCAGGTCGTTGAAGCTCCCGACATTGTCAGAAACAAGGTGTCGTTTTCTGCCTTGGGGTTCCTTGATGGAGAGGTCTCTTTGAATGGTAAGTCTGCTGCATAAACTACTAATTGGCAGAGTAATTATCATAAGATATCTTCCAAGAGTGAAATTGAAATATATGATTTGGTAAGCTATGTGAGACCGGTGAACTCCCTTAACTTGACAAACCTGAACTAAGCATAGGCATGTTTGAGCATGTCATTTTTTTTTTCTTTTTTGCTGGTGTAGAATAATCTGTATATGCATTTACAGTTCTGATATTTATTATTGATCCTTGTTTCAAAATCTAGTCCAGACATCAATCTGGTCAACTGCATATGGATTGGTGTTGAGCCTTGGCCAGGAGTTCAGCTGTACTGGAAACTCATCCCAGTATTAATCGGCCAGAGCCAAACTTGGCAAAACTTGGATCCCTTACAAAAAAAACTTAGTCAATTTATTTTAAATTGAGTAAGTTTAATTTTACCTGGATTCAATTTCCCCATGCAACTGCCCAAAAACTTATTCCAGTATTAATTAGTCAGCACCGAACATGAGACTACGTGGCTTTTATGCAGCAGGAGTAATTGTTGGGATATATTTTATACATTTACCTGGTCCAGTTTTCCTCAAGGGTTTTTTTTTTTTTTTTCCACAGCTCAATGATATCCAGGCTACACTATGTTGGAAAACATTATAATTTGTTTCCCATGTGGCACCTTTTTCTTTTCCACTTCTTTCATTTATTTTAAATTTTACTTTATTTTTCCTTTAATTGGTTTTGTTTGTACCTGTTTCCAAATACTTGGCACAAGATTTTGTTGAATTGAGCTGAGTTATTTATTTCAACCCATGGGGGTCTTTCACCTTGATGTGAGGTGATTTCCTGTTTTAGCAGCTTTTAGACTGTTAAGTACGTAGGCATGATAGGATAATAAAAAATGAATGATGAATAATGATATTATTATTATTAATTACGAAAAGATATTTATTGGTATTGAAAGGATGAAGCAGATAAAGTTTCATTCGGTTGAGTTAATCATAAGACCTAGATACCAAATCAGAGGAATTGTCAGCTTGATTTCGTGCCTTGTCACTTCTTGATTTTGTACTGCCTGTAATATATCCTTTAAGATAACTATAGTAATCCCTAATTGTCTTGTAATGGATTTTCATTTGAATGTATAGGGAAGCTGAAGGCTCTGGATGAGAAATGGATTCAAGTGGTGTTTGAGCCACCTGAACTGAAAGTGGGATCATTACAGTTCCAGTATGGTGGTGAGAGTGAGGTTAAGCTGGAGATCACATACATCGATGACAAGATTAGGTTGGGGAAAGGCTCCAAAGGTTCTCTATTTGTCTTCCAAAGACGCAAATCAACTTCGTGAATTGTTTAACTAGAGGCAAATTTTTGTGCTGCTATTTCAATCTCTCTGGTCGGTGTAATATAAATGTGTAACATGATCTTCTCAGAAATTTCTACTATTGATGTGTTTTCTCACTGATTGGACTTATTTCTTTGCCCTTCTAATGAGTTACAGTCAAAAGTATTGTATCTATCAAATCTCGTATGGATATGGTTGTAAATTTGTTGTCGTCTAAATGTCTAATCCCGTTTGCAGTAGTTTACCAAAGGAGGGAGGCATTAATATTTGCTGTTCTAGCATTAGAGGTTGCCCAGTTTACCAAACAGCATAAAAGATATCCTTGAATGGGCAAGTTCATTTCAGATTTTGAAATGCTTAAAATTGGCCATGTTAAAACTCATAGAATGGTTGACGATGTTATGGTGGTCAGTAATGTTCTGATCCTGCTTTGATCATGTTCTTCCCATCAACAGATAACAGAAGTTTCCATGCAGAGAAATTATTTTCCAATTAGCAATCTAATGGTTGAATCCTTGTCTTGAAGTAGTTCAAATTGCTGAAATTACATGCAAAAAACAGGGGGGCTAAAAAATAAAAATAAAAATTCATGTACAGTAATTTTGAACATTTATTTTGCTTTACTGATAAATCAATCGTGCTGTTATTTGTTTTAAATTGATTTCATTAATTACTCTATTATTATTGTTATTATTTTCAGAAGGTATATTTTCAAATTTTGTTTTTTAAATTTTATCACAAGGTACTTTATTTTTTTCCCGCATGTAAGGTTTGAGAGGTTTGAAGTAGGTCCGGAAACGAGAGTTGTATCGTAAACAAGTTGGGGTATATAAATGAGTGAGTGAGTGACTCCATTGATATTATGAAAATGCCATTTGCAACTTTACGAGCGTACGACTCAAATACCAATGACTTTGTGGCTCAGTGGTTTGTGTGAGTTGTCATTGACCAAATATATATATATATATATATATATATATATATATATATATATTAAGGACTCAAATAAACTGCTTTGTGAATACTATGCACATTTGTTTTTATAAATTTTAATGCACTCTTTGTTTGATAAACAAAGAAAATAAAGTGTATATATATATAATAAAATTATGAGGCTGCATCCCTACTGTAATCCCTAGTTGTAGCGGTGTTGTATAATTTGTTTTTTATCTTGGTTTTACAGATGCTGAAGACGTAACTTTTTTCTATTGCATTTGAAAGTATCAAATCTAAATCTTAAATTTTAAAATAAATAAATTTTAGTTCAAGCTATAGTAACATTATACAAACACATCATTACGAATTCAAAACTTTCCTAAAGAATGAATCTAATCCAATTTATTCATTACTGGCCTCACCTAGAGAATGAATCCAATCCAGTTTGTTCATTACTGGCCTCAAATTGAGTCTTGAGTTCATGACAATTTTCAAAGTTTAAATGCTCGATTAAGTGGTTCTAGTTTTTATCTCTAAAATCGAGTCTCAATTCATTTCCATAAAAATTGTTGTTGTAATGATTTTCAACATTTTTATATATATATATATAATTTTTTTTTTCACCCCAATTTAATATCTTAAAAATATATATATAAAATGAAAAAATATACTCCATATAAAATGTTGATCTTATTTAATGAAAATTTTTTTCGGCCTAAAAAAAAAAATTTACATCATCATATTACAACAGAGGGTGTGGGTTGATTTTGTAAAATGTAAGGTCTTGTTTGGTATTAGTTTTTGTTTATTGTTTATCATTTAAGCTTAAATATAATGAGTGTTTATGTGTAATTGTTGCTTATCAATAAATACATACATTGTTTGATAACATAAAAATAATAAATAGAAAAATATGTTTGTTAACCTTCAACGATTTTTAAAAAATTTAACATTAGGTTTATACAAATAATTCAATTATCCTCTAACAAGGTTACTCACAACCTTAGCAAATGTGGTGCTCATTAAAAAAAAAATTATTGATCTGATTGTGGCCCTCTTGATTATTTAAATTTTAAAGTCATAAAAAATGATACTTGTTTTACTTCTTATCTATGTTTTCTTCATGTGTATATATATATATATATATATATATATATAATCATAAACATGGTTTTGACTTTTATAAAATTGACATATGTGAACAGTAATTATATAGGTGAATATACATAACTGATAAACATATACGATATTAAAAAACATGTTTTTCTTCTAAATCTATTTATTATATAAACAATAAAATATAAACAATAAATTGTAAGCATAAATAATTGCCAGGCCTAAATAAATGAATACTACTGTATCCTGATAGTGACGTCATATATTTATGTATTATTATTATTATTATTTTTGAAAATCTATATATTACGTTATTAGCATGAACACAGTCATCAATTACCCTACCCCACACTGTGTCTTTCCGGGGAAAGAAAAAAAAAAACTACCCCACCGTGTGTAGAGTGTATCAATGATTTCTTCTCCGGTAGCCGAAGCCCGGACGGAGGCGACAACAGTAGCACCGCCTGGTTCTGACACACAACAGCAGCAACAACAGACGGTGGTATCATCCGTCTCCGGCGAGGCAGTCCCAGCGAACGTAGCGTCACCACCGCCGGCGGAGGTGACGGCTGGCGAAGCAACTGCCGCGGAGAAATGGTCCGGGTGGCCGGGAGACAATGTGTTCAGGTTGATCGTGCCGGTTCTCAAGGTCGGATGTATCATCGGACGCAAGGGCGAACTCGTGAAGAAGATGTGCAAGGACACTGGCGCTCGTATTCGCATCCTCGAAGGGGCCCTTTTGGCACTTCTGATCGTATGGGCAGTACTCTCTCTCAATCGTTTCTTCTTCTCTCTCACTATTAACTTGCATCTATTTGTACTTTGTTATGCCTGTTTTAGGGTTTATAAATGTATATAACCTAATTTGAAACTGAAGAAAATTTTATTTTATTTATTATTATAATTTTTTTGGCTTCTGGACATGCTATTTTCTTTGAGTTTGCATGCTGCTTATTGATTACTTTAGCAATAATTTTGATTTTGTAATGCGTGGAGTTCATGTTGTTTATTTAAGTGAAAGATATATTTACTAATTTGTTCTTAGAAAATATGTAATTTTGTTCAATATGTTCCCAATCCCATGTTACATAACTCCTCTCTTTTTTTTATGACATGAGAGGATTCTCCTGAAGTTTCTCTTCAACCTGGGACTGCTTCATATATACCTTGCTATACTGACAACTGAAATTATTAACATAAATATCCGCTGAAAATGTTTAAAGCCTTAGCCTTCTTAATGTTGGAGAATTGTAGTTGGTTGTGGTAATGTTTTTTTGAGGCAGCTTCTTAGTTTCCTGCTGATTGTGAAATTTGCAAAACATCAATGAAATTTTTTTTTTTTGGCTTGGGTTTGAAAACGTTTTTCAGCATTTACAATCATTTCACAGGAATTCTGTGTCTAAAAAGGAACTCTAGAATAGTAGAATATTAATAGAAAGTAGAAAGTGAACTAGGCTATAGCCAGTGAGAAAATTGGAGAAGACTGGTTGTTGATGGCGTCTCTTTCTCTTTTAGTGACTGCACATAGTTATATAGATGGTGGGTGGCAGTTCCTATGCACTCTTTAGTATGTTTGATGTTGCCAAGTGTTTGCTTATCTGGCTGCTTCGCTTTGCGGCTTGCACCAATTATCCCATGTTGGTGCTTGTACTTGCAACATCTTTCCTCCTCCTCCCCTGAATTGATCTGAACGGTATACACTGCCTGAGTGAATGTATTGCCGAATAGTTGTTGTATCCTCCAAATTAGGGTAAAACAGAACAAGTTATGATGTTCTAGGATTCCTTTGGTATGTGTATCTATTGATATGCGTCAGCAATTTAGTTTTCTTGCTTGGGAAGTTGGAATGATTCTCTTAGACTTTCTCAATACAGCTGTGTAGATCTAGAAGAGTAGGCTGTAATGTCGGAATGACGAAGAATCCATTGAAAACTACATATATTATTCTTATTGCTTGACACTTTTATAAATGAAATGCAGCCCCCGGGGGCTTGGATGAGTTGGTAGGGTGTTGGCACTGGCTCTCAAGTGGCCAGTGTTCGAGCCTTCCCACCTCCTTTATCACCTCCGGCTTACCTGGTGTATCCTATGGGGCGAAGGGTGCACCCCCAGGTTTGTAGCCTAGGGTGAGTCCTGAAGGGACCCTTCCTAGGGGAGTTCCTGGTGCCAACCAAAAAAAAATGAAATGAATGTGTACTTTTTTTTTGATAAGTAAAATGCATGTGTACTTGTATGGATGTTTGGGTAAAGTAGCATTAGTTAATGCTTATTTCCTCCATTTCCGCCATGCATAATTTACTAATGAAATAAATGACAGCATACTTTTTAACTTATGGTATTAAGAGTGTTTACTAGCCTATTATTATTTATGGTGGAAAACTTACAAAAAGTAACAAATGAAATATTTTTTACTGGAAATAATATTGTCTTCTTTTTAATTAAAGAATAATTGATCACTACATAGAACATATCTGACATATTTGTAGATTTATTTATTTTTCTTAAAAAAAATTCAAAGCTTGAATTTAACTTGTCATTTTATTTAATATATTATAAAATTACAGTTTTTTGGAATTGCAAGAACATAAGTAGTCAAGACTCAAGTAATTTAAAAACTTGACTAAAATGGAGGTTTTTGTTGAGCTTACACACATGCAAAACACCCTTCAATGTGCATATACATATTCTGAGATGTAATGCTTTTAAGCTCTTAAAATGTTGTAATTTTAAATAATGTATATTGAGATAACAACTGTCACACTGCAGTGTGTAATATACCTTGTATGTTTATATATATTATTGTGTGTATCTCTACATATAGAGTTATATTATTATTGAACCAAAATTCTTAAAAGTTACTATATGCTGATGATGAGTTTAATCATTTGAAATCAAATATTAATATGTTATATTAATTTTTTATGGGTCGATAGTAAATATTCAGAATAGCAAGTTATAGGACACAAGCTCAAGTTCTAGATGGCTAGATGCAGCCACTTTGTGCAGGATAATAACAAAGGTTAGGTTTGTCTCATGTATTCCCCTTCCAAGACGTTTTGTAATG